GGGGGGGGGGGGGGGGGGGGGGGGGGGGGGAGAGAGAGGAAGAGGAGAACAAAAGGCCCACGGCTACTCCCTCTCACTCAATCCGTCTATGATTGTGCTAAAGAAATGAGCACGGTCCTTCAAGTTCGACATTTTGTGTATATCACAACTAAGATATTTTCATCCGCATAAACTGTTAAGGGTCCGTCTACGTCGTATGCTGAAAGACATGAAAGGGAATCCAAAAAATCAAGAAAAGGCACTACTTCAAAAACAACAAAGTCGAAATACAATGCTAACACCAGTTTACCAATAATTCCCAAAAGCGGTAAGCACTTATATGAGCTTCTGCATATTTTAAACAATACAAAATTTTGTCAAGAGACATTGTGGGTTTTTACGCGTCTCTCTGAGTGTTCGTCCCTTTTCAAATTTTGCCACGCACTTTCGTCTCAGCAATTAGAAAAGCTAGGAAGCTGAAATTTCACGACGATATTCTTCGTCCGTTTACGATCACGAGATTTATAATTCATATTCGAGCACTCCTAGATCTCATGAACAAATAGGTGAAAAGCATTTACATTCGGGTTTATTCATTGCATCCACATAACTCTGCACAGGCGCTCACAAAGTTTTTCAGAACTTCAGGAAGTGCCAGGAGTTACGTACTGATAAAACCCATTAAAACACTGCAATCTTTTAGTAAGTGATAAGTTGCACCGACGTCAAAAAACATTCATATAACCATTTAGTCAGTGTTATACTCGGGATATCTGGGCAGTCTGCAGGTTTTCCAACTTAGCACTTGGCAGCTTTCCAGTTGTTCACTGCTTCATTGGCTGATGATCAGCCCAATTGCAATCCTGACGTTCGTTTTATCTTCGGAACGGCCAACTTAGCCGTCCTCTCAACAGACATTTTATGTTGATTCATTCTGAACGAAACAACGAAATGTAAGCATAACCAGTTGACTACAGAGTCTCTAACGAACGTTGGCCAGGCCGTTAATTATTTTTCTACGGTGCACTTCATGTCTCAGCTTATTCCAGCCCGAAATGCAATGGTATCTTGCCCGTGATTGAAAAGTGTTTGAAGGGGTCCTAGAAACAGGATTATGCTGCTCTGAGTTTTCACGCGTAAAATAACTTTGACTCTGATGTTTCCTCTAGATATGCGTTACAAAGCTGCGGTGAGGACGGTGCGGAAATTCTTTCCGGAGTTCAGAGCTGGAGCAAATTGCTGGGCATCGTGGTCAACAGACGATATGCGTCAAGCGTTGGCTTTCAAAGCAGCAGGTGTTAGGAACAGTCAAATTCAAAGAAAATTTGGCATATGCCACACCGTAATAAAATTATGGATGAGTTATGGTAAGTGATACTATTCGTGATGTTTTTTATCCCGAATTGCTAAGAAGCTGTCGGTAACTGTAGTCAAATTGTTTTGAAAACCAAGCTGCTGTATTTCAGATGAAGCAACTCTTCAACGACGTTTGCGTGAAAAAGCAACGTGGGATGCTATTCGCGCTACCTGGGTTCAAAATGTCACTGCAGATCAGTAGATTTTCTAGAATTTTTTTTTTTTTTGTGTCCACTATATCCTGTATTCTTCGCAAATGTTTAAAAAGCTGATTCTGCAGTTCCATCAGTCGTTTATAGTACTACACAAAATA